TTTCCCTATCTTCAGCTCTTCACCTGGGTGAACAGCTGTACCTTTGTCCCAATCGGAAACCTGAGAATTATCCTCAACATCTCCACCTAACCCCTCCGTCAGCACATCCCATCAGTCACTTAAGATGTGCCAACTGTGTCTTCTAAGCAGCGTATAATAGGAGTTCTCAAGTTCAAGTGCACCAGAACTACTTGACTTAAAAAAAATAAGCTAGGTCTGAGGGGAGCCCAGAGTCTTTGCAACACGCCACAAGTAATTCTGAAGGCAATTCTGGTGCACGTCAGAGGACCAGGCCTTGAGAAACACTGCGCTAGAGGCACTGTGCAGCACTGTACATGCATTTAATCCTCACAGCTCCCTTGTGAAATATGTACCCCAATATTAGGAATGGGGGAAACTGAGCTGCTACCCCCGTAACAAGGGAGTGGCAGGATGCCAGACATACCCTCTCTGGCTCCACGGCCCGCGCTCTGTCCACTGCATCTAGGGACATATTCCGCAGCCCCTGTCTGCGGGGGTGCAGGGTTGGAAGCCACGACTCGTTCTCCTTCTGGGAGGACAGCGACTCGACCAGTTCCCCAGAATCCTTCCTGCGAAGCTGGGGGAACCCGGGGCTCTGGCGGAACTTCTTCGCTCGGGGAGGAAAGGTGCGGGGGAACTCCAGTCTCGAAGGACCCAGGGCTGCAGGGGGACGTTTCACCCGAAGGACTGCCTTGTTTCAACAACAACTTTATGGCTCCCGGAAGTACCTCCTCCCTATCCCCTGCCCAGGCTCACGCCTGTGGGTTGCACTTGGAGCCATGGCGGCGGCAGCCGCAGGACGTGGCCCGGGCTGTGGACCTGGGGACTCCCCAGAGGGGCCCGAGGCGGGGGCTCCGGAGCGTCGGCGGAAGGCGCACGGGATGCTGAAGCTTTACTACGGCCTCTCGGAGGTGGAGGCGGCGGGGCGCCCCGCGGGGCCGGACCCCTTGGACCCTACAGATCTCAATGGGGCGCACTTCGACCCGGAAGTGTATCTGGACAAGGTGTGTGTATCGGGAGGGGGAACAGGCCCCCGATATATTGCACCCCACATCACGCCTGCGACTTTGTTGCGGGGGGAGGGTGGGGCGAGGGAAGAGGTGTTCATAAAAGCAGGATGACCCTGGGCCG